GGGGACCCGGCGATGTCGGCAGTAACAGCGCCGGGACGCTGAACGACGTGTGTTCGAGAAAATCGGCGCGGTGTATGCTATTGGCGCAGGATACCTCGTGGAGGCGCAGGTAGTAGCGAGAACAGATACTCGAACGAGTGTCGCGAGAGCACGACGTGCCATGTGCCATCGATCGGAACAAGTGATAATCGGAAGGGGCAATGTCTGGTGAATACGGCGTGTGGGGTAGGACTTCCCATTTAAGCGTTTCCAAGTAGGTTTTCACCGATTGTGCAATATGTGGCCGAGCGTTGTCATATTGCAAAATCACTTTGTCGTGTCTCTGCTCGTATAGCGGCCGTTTTTCCTTCAATGCTCGGCTCAAACGCATCAATTGTAGTCGATAGCGATCTCCCGTGATGGTTTGGTTCGGTTTGAGCAGCTCATAATAAACTACATCCAGCTGATCCCACCAAATGCAGAGCAGAAGCTTCGAACCATGGATATTCGGCTTTGCCAACGATGTTGATACATGACCGGGCTTAGCTCACGATCTTCTACGCTTAGGGTTATCGTAGTATCCACTTTTCATCGTCAGTCACAATACGATGCAAAACCCTTTCCTTTTCTGCCAGTGAAGCAGCTGTTTATACGTGAAAAGACGCCGCTCGATGTCTCTCGGCTTCAACTCGTACGGCACTCAATGTCCTTGTTTTTGAATCATTCCTAATACTTTCAAACGTTTCGAAACTGTTGGGTGATCAACTCCTAATGATTCTGCAAATTCAGCTAGCGTCTGACATGAGTCTTCATGAAGTAATGCCTCCAATTCTTCGTCTTCAAACTTTTTCGGTGCGCCAGAGCGTTCTTTATCTTCAACATCAAAATCATTATTTTTGAAGCGTCTAAAACAATCTCTGCATGTTGTTTCCGACAGAGCATGGTCGCTGTAAGTCTCAACAAGAATTCTGTGTGCTTCAGCTGCAGATTTTTTTTTGAATAAAGTAGTGCAGTAAAACTCCCCGCAAATACTCTTTTTTTTTCACGAAACTCGACATGTTTAACACTATGAAAAAAAAAGTTGTTTACACTTCAGCGAAATGACATACACTGAATTTCAAGCTTGCTTATAGTACTTCTTTATAGATGCGTTACCATCTTAAACTACACGCACGCAATTCTAGTAATGCCATCCGTTGGAAAACAGCGAGAACTTATTAAAGATCCTGATACTTTAACATTTACTTGAAATCAATACAACATCTTAAAAATATTTCTGCCGATTAAAATGTTATGGCAATCTTATTTCAACATTATTGAAACTTCCAAATCGCGGCCAAAGTATGTGCATAATAATGTTTGATAGAATATTAAACACTACATATTTGACAATATTATAGGTTCTTCAATATCATTGTAGCAACGTTGTATTATTAATTTCTTGCTTACTGGTTATTTTTTAACCAAATATTAAAATAACTGAAGTAAACAATAAATTAGTTTGAAAAATACAAGAAACAATTTAAATCAATTATGAGATATGCTTATCATTCTTGTTATCAAAATATTTAAATTATTTAAATTTAAATATTATTTAAATTATTTTAGCAGAACAAGTAAATCTTACCTCCTAAATATACTGCGACATTTTCGCTAAAAGTATCGCGCAAAGTCGCCTGCTCGCTACGTCGACAACTTGCCGTCGGCCCCAGATCACGCTCACGGCACACGAAAAATGAGTTATTGGGCGCTAGGTGCGGAAAGGCCGCACCACCTCGGAACACCAAAGAACACGAAAATATCCGAAAATTCGTGTGATCCTGGAACCGTACGAGACTGATAGCTTCCCGTTATTTAAGTCGGCGACGGGATGAGTTCGGGAGACGATAAGGAAGGGAGAGAATCTACTCGAAAAATCTGCGACAGTTAATAGTTTATTAGGCGGGACTCGCTTTTCCCGATAGTCTTCACCCGATAGTGGTACACTCTGCCCCGTTATCGAGACCGTCGCCGCGCGGTCTTCACAATACTCGCGACGTTTGATATGAGATCGTGGACGCGGCAATCACGGCCCGAGGACGGTCTCCTCGAGCAAGTCGGTTTTCGCAGTCGCTCTGCGGACAGGACGACGATAACACAAAATTCTACAACAACGGCACGAAAATTTTAAAGCAGATGGGAGGCGACGGTTTCGCCTTGGGGATGGCCGGTCTCGGTGCGGTCCTCGCCTTCCTATCGTGTCCGGCTCGTTCACGCGTTCGCTCTTCCGCTCGCTTGCACTCTTGCTCGTGCGCTCGCTCGATCACTCGCCCGCATCCACTCTCCTTCTCACCCGCGGGCTTACAAAAAGGATGACCGAAAGGCGAGAGCAATTTTTGTCGTCGCGGAGTCGATAATGATATCTTGGCGTCGTGGAGTTGGTACGATATTTTCTGCGCTCGTGGCTACAGTCGCTCGACTGCTGAATCGGCCGTTCCTCTGGGATCTCGAATCCTTTTACGATCCCTCCTCGTCGCTTCTCGCCTCGGCTAGAATTCCCGATCTTCAATCAGCAATCGACAGTTCTCGTTGTTGTTGTCTCAAGAAATTAATTGTCTCGAGACACTTCGCCATCGATGATGTGCTCACGGCCTTGATCGGCACACCATTTCTTCTAGCCGGGATCTCTTCAGGATGGTATTGTCTTCCCGGTATCGCTCCTTGCTCCTTACCATTGTGTTCGCCAAACATCAGTTGAAACATAAACACAGCTAACGGTATCGATTCTTAATACGATAGCTATGTTTCCGTGTTATCGAATATTCTGGAGGGATAGAATATTTGGGAACGTCGGAGAATCTTAGAGCGATCGGAAACTCGAGAATAAGCAAAAATGTTACAGCGCTAAATAATCTTAGAGCGATCACCTAAACGAGAGCAATGAGTGAGGAACTGGCGGCCGATGGTCCTCCGTCCCACGTCGTCCTCGGATAGTCCTAGTGACCGGCAACGGAAGCCGAGGGGCACAAATTCTGGAACGCGCTGACCAGAGAGAGTCCCAGATACACACATTGACAAATAGACACATCCAATAATATGTCGTTGTTTACAGTCACTAGAATATCTCTAGGCATACGGCGTTGTGGTTGGCTGTGTCTGTTTGTCAATGTGCGCATCTGGGGCGCTTCTGCTGACCAACACATCTGCTCCACGCTTACTCGTAACTCCGAGATTGGTTCTAAGGACTCACGCGAAAGAAAAAAGGCAGTTCGGGACGCGATAGTCGAAAATATCCGCGAAATCGGCGCATTTATTATTGGAATGGGCGTCTTCGAAGTTGCCACGTTACAATACTTATAATATTTGATTTAAATAGAATATCGTTATCAAGTTTATTAATCCTAATTTAAACAGTATAAGATGTTTTAAAATTATCTTATACATATCCAGGATATATTGAAGAGTATTCCAAAACTTCTTAAGGGAATGTCGGAATGCCTACAAACCTATTTTAGATTTTACGTTTTCCAGACTGAACTGATCGAAAAGCGCTTTTGCACGCTTAAAGTACTCACTGAAACACACCCAGCAGATATAATTTTTTCATCGAAAACGAAAAAAAATTTTTAAGTAAGTTGTTAGTACAATTCGTAGGTTATAAAAATTTCTACGACGCATATAAAAAAAAGGAAATATCTGCTAGCTATAAAATGTTGTATAGAATAACGTCCAATCTTCAAAAATATGCTTAGAAGCTTTAGAAAACCACAATTTTTTATGGAAAATTACTATTACTTTTTGTTAAAATGTAGATAAAACAGAGCAGTTTAGACGTCCATGATAGTTCACGGATACTGCGCTAGTATTATAATAAGCCACAGTGATAGAGCTGCAGGTTGGCCGCAAGCCTTGGATATGAATAGTCGTGATAGCGATCAGTTCTGAGTTTGTGACTAAAGCTTATATCGTTCCCTCTCGTACTTTTCTCCCTTAAATCGGTGTCGACTTTCCCTGCCTTTTCTATACAGTAGACGTAATAACAGGCAAGCCACAGTTTGCCTTAGAAAATTGAAAAGAGTAGCGAACAGGAGGGGGGTCTGGGGTCCTCCCAGGCTCCCGAGATATTCTCAAGTGTAGCGTTCGCTAACTACGAACCTGAAGTCTTAGACGATCGTATGGTGACAGAGGATTTTGTTTCGATACGAGAAATGACGAAATCCAGGAACAAGAAGAGAAATCATGAAGAAATTAGCAGTGACTCGACGAGGGAGGACACGGAGGACAAGATGGCCGACCAAACTCCCGCCAAAAATCTTTTGAAAAAGCACGTTTCCGTTGACAAAAATACTAACTTTAACAAATCAAGGGAGGTTTCCACTTCGACTGTTGAGGACCTCGTTGTCGGCTTCATCACCATCGGCGTCCTCACTACTTCCATATTCGACTCGCTAAGTAAGCCTCTATTCTGTACACTAATCACATATAAAGGTAACGGTACGGACCAACCTGCTCGGAGATATTCGGCTTTAGAACTTGCCAGAAAATTATAGAAATCAAATATTAAATATCTGGAGTGCTCTCCGCAAGGGAAGAATTGTTGGAAGATTACCTTCGCATCTAGAGCCGAAGCAAATAATGCATTAAAGAATCCGCTTCTCAAGGAAGCTTACTTACAGATCTTCATCCCAAGGAACATGATTTCCAGGAAAGGGATCATTAGGGGAATCCCCCTGGACGTGTCGGTGGAAGAAGTCATCAATATTATTAATTCGGACAACAAAAAGATTAGGACAATCAATGCATTCAGACTGAAAAGAAAGGACAAGGACACCGGACAATGGATTGACTCGCAGACGTTATATATAGAATTTAAGGGACAAGATCTTCTTTGTGCACATTTGGAGAACCAGGATTTATGTCTCTCCGTACATCCCAGCGGTAATACTCTGCTATAAATGCGGCCGTATGGGTTATATTTCAAAAACTTGCATATCCAAAGAAAGATGTTTGACCTACTCGGATGACCATGTAATTACCAAGAATATTCCCTGTTCAGCTAATAAAAAAATGCATCAACTGCTCTGGTCCTCACGACACGAGAGACAGGAATTGTCCCACCTTCAAAAAACAAGAGGTAATCATTAGAACCTTGGCTCTGGACAACGTAACTTTCGCTGAGGCAAGGAGAAAGACTTTTAGGATCAGCCAAAACAGGAGTTCCACTATTTGCAACAAGACACCGATTAAAACTCTAAAGGAATTTCCAACATTTCCTGCATTGCCTGAGGATAGGAAGACCCTGCGTGGTGCTACCGAAATAGTGCCTCCTACATATTCTTCTCGTCTTGGCGCTGGCCGGTCGGTGACGTCTACATCATCACAGGACTACGAATCCAGGTTCGAACGTATTGAATCCAAGTTAGATCAATTGTTTAGCATATTCAACCAATGGTAAATTGTTCTTTTAAATCGCCTTCAGAATTACCTAGATCCACTACATTATATGTAGGTTGGGAGGATCATCTCTTAAATTCATCCCTAAAAGGATAGATTCGTCAAGTCTAAAAATTTTACAATGGAACTATAAAAGTGTGATTTATAAGAGCTCGGAAATATTGAAGCTGTCTAGAGAACCTTCTAGAGCTGTCTAGATGACCTTCTTTCACTCTCTGAGACATGACTGTCGGAGGATATGTTTTTCAATATTTTCGGTGATAAGGAAAGATAGAATCCAGAGGGGAGAGGGTGTAGCTATTTGTGTGAGAAGTGGCATAAAATATCAAGTTGTGGAGGATCTGTATGACTGCGAGGGTTCTATCGAGTTGTGTGCGATAAAAATTTCACTTGCTTCTGAGGAACTTATGCTGATTTCTTGTTATAGGCCCCCGAAGGGACCGATTATTCCATCCAGCTGCCGGATGGATCAAGTTCTTTGCACAATTCAGTGGCAGAGTTATTATCAGCGGTGATTTCAACATACATCATTCTTGGGGTGGAGAAAGGAGTACCCAAGCGGGTCGTAATCTCCTCGAAGGTCTTGAGACTTCTTCCCTGTGTATTGCTCATGATCGCAGTACCACCTACTACGATGCCTCTCAGCTCAGGTCTTCTTCCATTGATCTCACCTTTTGTGATTGCAAAACCAGATCAAATATGTTTTGGATTGTGGACGCTGATCTGCACGGTAGCGATCATTTTCCAATTTCTCTTTCCTTTCCCGGTTCCGAAGTTAACAAAAAATTCGAAAATGAATTACAAGTTACACTCGAAACATACAGACTGGAAAAAGTTTAAAGACCTAATTTCTGATCGTCTCAAGTCCGAAATCTGCGTTAAGGAAAGATTTCCGGATTGTCATTCTCGTTATCTAGCTTCCCTGGAACTCATCAGAACTTCGTTATCCGAGTCCTCTCCTGTAAAACGATCGCAGCGCGAAGGCAAAAACAACGGACTGTATTCCTTCCATCCTCTCCCTTCCCCTCCGTGGTGGGGTGCAGCATGTTCAAGATAGGTCAGACTTAGAAAAGCGGCCCTATTAAAATTTAAAATTACTCACTCTAGAGAGGATTTCATTAACTTTAAAAAAAGGGAAGCTATTTGTAGGACGGAATTTAAGAGAAAGAAGAAAACAAGTGTTTTTTCGTTTCGGTGACATTGATGAAGTGTGTTGGGCTCACAGGGATCTTCCTCAGGGGAGTTTTCTTAGCCCTATTTTATATGCGCTTTATGTGGCACATTTAGAATTAGTTAAGAATAATAATTGTAATACTTTACAGTACGCAGATGACGTCACACTTCTTTCCAATCACCCAGAGGTGGACGAAGGCCTAAGAATGGAGGATAAGTTAAATGATACTAGTAAATTTCTTTCAAATTTGGGTTTAGAGTTATCTCCTAAAAAATGTAACATATGTATCTTCAGTAGTAATCAGGTCAGAAGAAATTATCGAATACGCCTGAGAGGTTTTAACGTTCCGTTTCAGTTTTCTGTTCGTTTCCTGGGAATGGTGTTTTCTTCGACACTCAAGTGGGACGATCACATTAAACACATCTGGACTAGCTGTCAGAATCCCATGCAAATCATCGGTTGTCTGAGGCAAACTTGATGGGGGGCTGATCCATCCCTTCTCCTTCTACCCTAAAATAAAATCCTTATTAGATCTCACTTGGATTATGGTAATTTCCTTCTTCACGGCCTTAATTCCAAACTTGCTCTTACTCTGAATAGGTTACAATTCAAAGCGATTAGATTTGCCCTAGGCTTGAGAACCTCCACTCCGATTAATGTAACGTTAGCTGAGGCTAGGGAATCTTGTTGGAAATTAGAGCAAGATATCTATGCAGAAGATTCCTCACAAAAGTGTACGCGGTGGATTCTCATCCGCTACTACCCACACTCTACGATATTCTCAACCTACCCCACCTCGGGTCACTCAAATCCAATAGTAACATTATAGTTGAATGTTTCGAAGACGTTTTAAGAATTTCGAAACTCCTTAACAGGGACGATCGCCCTTTCCCAAGCTCTATACGATTTGAATCTCTAACCTAGTCGCCTCATATCGATTTGTACTCCGGAAAGGAAATTCAGGCTGCAGATGCTCCTAATAAAAAATTTTAGGGAATCTTTGGCAATCCTTCTCCTAACAACTTAGATCTTTATACTGACGGTTCAAAGAAGATTGAATCATCTGGCGTGGGTTATTCGGTTACATCTCTTGATGAACAATACAACAGGATATATAAAGCTCCCTTTTTTATTTCGATTTTTGCTGCGGAAGCCTTAAGGTGCCATTTCATATAGATAAGAAAAGCCAGTGTATTACCCCCACTCCACCGCAATGTAAAGCAGCGTTGAAAAACTGAAGCTGAAGCCTGCTTCCTTTTCATGGAGCGTGTCTTCGCTGACTTTCCTAGCCATTACAAAGAAAGGAAGAACGCTGGCTTAAAGATTGTTTAGTATTGTTATGTAAATAGTGCACAAATAATTTAAAAAGAAAAATTAAAAGTTTTTTAAAGAGAGAGAACAAGTGTTAACTATATTGATTATAAAAATGGATAACGGTAGTCAATACATGGAATATGTGGAACAATACAGACGTATAGTGTCACTTACAATTGTAGAGATTAAAAGGCGACGTATAGCCACTGGAATTGCTGTGCTGCATTTATTGCAAAGGAAGAAACAGTACAAGAAAAAAAGTATTGGGTAACACCCATTTTTGAAAATCATAACGAACACGGTTTTTTTCTTTGCGTCGGTTCCAAAATTGATATTGGAGGACATACGATTCCAGAATTATTTTCGGATGACTGCAACTCAGTTGGAAAAACTTTTGAACATAATCGGACCATAATTGCAGAAACAGGACGTCGTTCGACCATTTATCACACCACCTGAACGATTAGCACTAACATTGAAGTATGTTTAGTCTTGTACTATATGACAAGTCAAACAAGCCTCAATGTTAGTTCCAACTGTTATGACGTATATATGTATGTGTAATCATTGGTTTGTTCTTTTCAGCTGCACTGCTGAACTGGTGCAATAAGTTAGAGCGAGAAAAAATATACTTGGCTTGCTCTAACTTATTGCACCAGTCCAGCAGTGCAATTGAAAAGAACAGACCATTATGTTACATTTTTTCTTTATGGATGTGTATTGTTACATAATATCAGGGTTGGGAAATTATTCGTTACTCGTTACTTGCTGTTACTTTTATTTTTTTTAATAATGTTTTAATAATGTATGATGTCCTTATTAATAACGACGTTACTTTTAATCCGGTTACTTTTAGTTCAAGTTGATATTGCATGTATGCAAACTAACTATTACATTTCTTACCGTTGCTAAAACTTTGTAACTGCATTACTATAATCGTTATTAATGAGGACAACATCATACGCGTCGTTATTAAAACATTATTAAAAAAAATAAAAGTAACGGCAAGTAACGAATAACGAGTAACTTCCAAATCCTGCACAATATATCAAAAATTATAGATATCTTGCTTCTAGGGACTCCATCACATCAATGTCTTACCAATATCTTGTGGGTCTAACAACAGCAAGTACCATTATTAGTGAAACATGCAAGGCAATTTGGGATTTGTGCCCTTTGGTTCTTCCGGATCAACTTACAGAAAGAGACTGGCTGGATATCGCCAATGATTATGATAAACAATGGAATTTTATTCATTGCATTGGAACCATCGATGGCAAACATGTCATCATTCAAGTATGTAAATTCATTCTCAATATACGATATAATGTAAAGAGAAGTATAATCTGAAAGAATATATCTTTGTTTTAGTGTCCTAATAATGCTGGATCAATGTGTTTTAATTACAAACACAGTCACAGCATAATCTTAATGGCTATCTGCGATGCAAATTACGTGATCCGTTTTGTGGATATCGGAGCATACGGACGACAAAGCGATGGTGGTATCTTTAAAGATAGCGCTATGAGGAAAGCATTTGATGAAGGCCGGATGAATATTCCACAGCCAGTAGCGATTGGAGAAAGAGGACCTATTTTACCGTACTGCCTTGTAGGAGACGAAGCTTTTCCTCTAAAGCCATACTTGCTTCGTCCGTATCCTGGCAGAGGGCTTACACCAAAACAAGATATATACAATTACCGTCTGAGTCGTGCCAGACGTACAATAGAAAATACATTTGGTATATTGGCCAGTCAGTGGAGAATATATAGATAACCAATTATAGCTAATATTGAGAACGCGAAATTAATGGTTCAAGCAACCGTTTGTCTTCATAATTGGCTTCGTCGACAGAACGTTGATGTGAATGTATATGTACCTCCGTATTTGGTCGATGTCGATGATCCAAACTGTCCAAATATCTTCAAAGCAGGGTCTTGGCGAAACATTATAGAAAACGGATGTGCATTTAAAGATATTTCAAACTGCGGATCGAACATGAGTGCTAGACAATGCGTACAAATTCGAAATGAATTTTGCCGTTATTTTAATAGTGACGGAGCGGTTCTGTGGCAAAATAATAGAAATAAATGAAATATAAACGAAATGTAAATAAAATATAAAAAATATAATAATATAATAATAATAATATAATTATTATTATATATAAGATATAGTAAAAAGAAATCCATTATTTTTGCATGAAATTGAAGGCTTTATTTAGCATAGTTAGAATGATCCGATTTAGGTCAAATATGCATGTTTTGTTCGATAACTTGTTGCCATTTTGAAGATAATTCCATTATGCCTCTCTCATAGAAACCATTGTTCCTATTGGCAAAAAACTGGGACAGTCGATTTTCACAAGCTTCTCTTGAGGCGAATTTTTCACCAGCAAAATCATTCGCCATAGACAGGAACAGGTGGTAATCATTTGGTGCCAGGTCCGGACTATAAGGTGGATGCATAAGAACCTCCCAACCAAGCTCCCGGAGCTTCTGGCAAGTCACTATCGATGTGTGTGGTCTGGCGTTGTCCTGATGGAACACAACTCCTCTCCTATTGGCCAAAGCTGGCCGCTTCTGGGCGATTGATTCCTTCAGACGGTCCAATTGTTGACAGTACAGGTCCGAATTAAGAGTTTGGCCGTAGGGGAGCAGCTCATAGTGGATGATTCCCTGCCAATCCCACCAAACACACAGCAAAGCCTTCCTGACCGTCAATCCTGGCTTGGCCACCGTTTGCGCCGGCTCACCGCGTTTCGACCACGACCGTTTTCGCTTGACGTTGTCGTAAGTGACCCACTTTTCATCACCAGTCACCATCCGCTGCAGAAATGGGTCGATTTTGTTGCGATTCAGCAGCGATTCGCAGATGGAAATTCGGTCCATGAGGTTTTTTTGCGTTAACTCGTGTGGCACCCATACATCGAGCTTCTTTTTGTATCCAGCCTTATTCAAGTGGTTCCAAACGGTTTTTTGTGCAATGTTTAGCTCCTGGGCAATCGAAACAGTGCTTACATGACGGTCGGACTCGACGATTTCCATTATTTTATCGACATTTTCGACAATTGGCCTTCCAGAGCGTGGTGCATCTTTGACATCAAAATTACCGGAACGGAATCGACGAAACCAAAATTGCGCGTGATTGGCTGTTACAGTATCAGGACCATAAACACTATTCACATTTTCAGCTGCCTAGCTTGCGTTTTCGCCTTTATCGAAGAAAAACTGTAAAATATGGCGTATTTTCTCTTTGCTAGTGTCCATCTTTGACGCGCGCTCAAACAATACTGAGTCAAACAATCACAAAACTGTCTGAGAAGTTTTTTTAGTACGAAATCTTATCTTTCTAACGCCATCTAGCGTAAACCGATCGCACTTATACAACGCGAGATACACATTACTAAAGCCATCTATTGGAAAAATAATGGATTTCTTTTTACTACACCTTATATATTAAAATACTATTAAAAATAAAGTTTTATAATCAATCATTATTATAATATTATATTATTGTAATCACAGGTTTCAGTATTTCATAAGCATTTTCTTTCATTTACGGTTGTTCAACTTTGCGACATTTATTACTTGCATTACTTGCAACATTATATTATCTACTAAATCAGGATCGACTTCTCGAAGTTGAGCAGCAATGAGACTACCAAATAAAGTCGCTTTGTCAGCCGGTGGTGGCGTATTCGGTATAAACGGCGGTATGTTGACAGTCACTGATTGACTGAGGACATCAGTAAGTCGATCAAAGGTTCCCTCAACAGAAATATCTACACTCTGACAACGCTTGCTACCATCTACAACCATATTTAGATTCTATATCTAGTCATTTACTGTGCCCCTTAATTATATTTAAAAGTCAAAATGAAGGGTACTAGGCAGAGAAAAATTGGAAAAAATGAAAAAATTACTCTTACCAATTGGTAAATAACTTGAGCGCCAATACAATATTGCATTGACACTTATAATGTTATTATTAAAATTTTGTTATTTGTAATAAACATTAAGAGCTAAGTTTTGATGAATGAAATTTTTGAAACCTCAGGTTGGAAAACGAAATTTCACAAACATTGGTCATGTTTTGTTTTTCTTTTCCTAGAACTCACCTTTTATGAGAAAATAACTAATAAAATTAACATACGCGATCTACGATCACTACTGCTGCTGTCATTATAAACTATACTCCCAGGTAACAAGGTGACGTCTAAAGACGTCATTAAAACGTCATAGACGTCTTAATAACGTCTTAATGACGTCTTTAGACGTCACTTTGCTACCTGGGCTGTCACTATCATTGCACTGCTTGAGCTCTTCGTAACTTTCAGACGCCGAAATATTGCTTATAGTTCTGTAACGTAAAGTTACATTTATTAATTTATTTATTAATGTAGTATTTATTAATACATTTTGTATTATATTTGCACGTATGTAAACAAAACTATACTGCTGCATTGAGATACGTTTCTACAGTCGCAAATTTGTATGTACATACTCGCTTTCAAGTTGTGCATCGCAAAGAAACTGCATCCGATCATAGTGCAACCAACTATTTTTTCGTGATGTTCCCGCTGAGCCACTCGGTTGGTGTTGCTGTTTATTCTTGCGCATTCTGAAAGAATCGCACAATGATTTCCATTTTTTTTTATGGACGGAACGTCCATTGTATCTAGAAACGACGATAATACGTTTAGTGACATAGTAGTGAATTTTATTCCACTTACATTATTAATGAAGAATATCTTCGCTCAGTAAGAGGGAGCTTAAAATTCCACAGCGCAGGACGTTTATGGACTTCCTCTATAATCTGTTCCTCCTGTAAAAGTTTTACCTTTTGCCAGGCAGTCATACCATCAGCCTCTTTGTTCTTTGTCTGAATCTTCTCTACTAAACTCGCATCTGCATCATCAACCAAATTATTGGTAATAATTTTTCCGTCATCTGCATTTTACAATATCTACTAACATTATTTACGTAAAACAAAATATGTAATGATAAAATTCATTCAGTCACTAATACTCACCGCACTGAGGATAAAAGTATGAATGTTCATCCATATAAAAGTATTTATATTCTTTCATGCAAGGGTGACAATTAATTTCATTTTCTGGGCAAACGGTTTCGCACACACCACATGTATATGACAGTAACGGAGTTTCCTACAATATAAAATATAAATTAATACAATATAATAAAGAAATAAATACAACATAATAAATAAATAAGAAAATAAGATATTTATGTACTTTAAGGGACACTGAATCAACAATCTTGATTTTGATATATGTTATTAAATATACCATAATATATATAATTACCAAAAATAAAGAAAAATCTAACCTATAAGATATGCTAGATATTATATTATATATACTTACTTTGATAATATTTTGTGGCACTGTTAATAATTTGTCACTCTTTTTAGTCATTTTATGTTTAATATACTCAATAAAAAATATTTCTATAACCTCAAATGTGATTGTCTTCTATTACTCCTTTTCAGCGTTGCTTCGCTGATAGTTGAACAATGTCGAACTTTGAGCGTGCTTTCGCTGTATAGTTATTTTAGCGAAAATCAGTGGAGTGGGGGTAATACGCTGGCTTTTCTTAGCTGCATGAAATGGCACCTTTAGTCATTATGGAAGTATTTCATATTATTAGATACTCTACATTTAAAAATTTCAGAATTTTTACTGACTCTTTATCCGTTCTAACTTCACTTTTGGTGGGGAATCTTGCAGGGAAGGGCAATTTTCACGCTATGCGTTTGAGAGAAGAATTGCATTCGCTGGAGATAAAAGGATTCAACATCACCCTGTGTTGGATCCCAGTCATGTTTGTATTCCGGGTAATAAACTCGCAGATAATTTAGCTAAAGAATCTACCCTTTTAGGTAAGAATACTTTATTTCGGATCTTCCTTGCCTCTCTGGGAGGCACAATTAGCTGAGGAAAATCAGGATTATCTTAAAAAAAACTTATATACTAGTAAGTACAGGAGTTAATTTCTTTCAGCATTATTACTTTCTAGGGAGGTTTCCCTTGATCCATAATTTAGACCTTAGTCGTAAAATTATTGCGTCGATATGTAGACTGCGTTTGGGTCATACTTCACTAAACTCTAGCCTTTTCAGATTTAATATTACAGACTAGTTTAGTTGCAATCCTTGTAAAATCCCTGAAACGGCTGACCATGTTATTTGGCAATGCCCCTCGTATGTAAATCAAAGACTTCTTTTTTTGAAAAAAATTCTCAAACTAATTCATACTGTTCCATGGTCAGTTCACTCGTTCCTCGTCACAAACCGTTATAGAAATATCATACTAAGAATCATTGATAATTACTTATTATCCAGTATTTTTAATACTGAAAATAAGTAATTACCAATGATTCTTAGTATGATATTTCTATAAGGGAAGGACCAAAAGATGTATGTAATTCTCGCAGGTTATATTAAGAATATCAAAACTAGAATATAAAAGATAAAATATTCCCCACATGGTGCAACACTTAACGAGAAATACACATTTGATCTTTTATTTTTGTAGTTAACGACATTTGACTTACAATCCACCTATTTAACCCTTATAGAAATATCATACTAAGAATCATTGATTAATTACTTATTTTCAGTATTAAAAGTACAGTATTTAGTAATATTCT